TGGGTGCATGAATAGTAACTGACACACCTCTCATAGGTAATGGGCTCATTAGCATGAACACGGGATGCATGAGCGGGAGGGGGACCATATCAAGGGGTAGTATGATGTAGGTGGACGGAGAAGATTGTACCATCTGAGTAGCCCAGTCAATGGGGGAAAAGAGGAAGGGTCTGCGAGCTGGAAAAAGGGAATAAAAGACAATGTGTAACCGGCGTGCTACCTGTGTGGTGGGCGCCCGCTCTTGCAAGAACGTATTAAACTATACTGCTTGGTACTTTGCCTCCATATCATCACTGCTTGGATTTTATTCCTTACACTCTCAAGTGCCTGAAGAACAGAGCCTTGCAAAACAAAGGGCTTCAGAAGGTGATGCAAAATCTGCCAGGAAAGTGTGTGTGGGGGGCGGGAGGCAGGTGCATAATACTCCTCAGTGTCTTCTGCTCCAGTGTAACCTCTGCATCCAGGTTGCTTTAGCTATCATGCTGCTAGAAAGTATGGTGCTACTCCTTGGTCATGTCATGCAAAGCAGTGGTCATATGTTCCTATTAGGGTGTGTTCAAGTGTATCTTAAAAGCAGGAGCTGAGATGTATGGATTATTTTTTCTCCTTTGTTGTCATGAGTTCAACCTCCTCCCCCTTTTGTACTGTTGCTATCTCATACACAAGTGAAAACTCTTTTAATGCTTTTGTTGCCTGAGAGAAGAAAGAAAAATCTTTCCTCATTTACACCTCTTAAGTCTACCTTTCTAGGTTGCTGGGTGGGTACCCATGTGCCCGTTTTTAAGGACTGACCTCTGTTTTGAAGGCATCCTGTGTCTGAAGGGCCGTGCAGTCCAAATCTAATAGAAAGGTAACCCTCAGAAGGGAGAGCTAGGCTTTGAAGTTGCCCATAACAGCACCTGGAAGGCAAACTGAGCAAGGCACACAGGTCTCACACCATAGTGAGATGCCCTGCATTTCTATTTAAATTACAATTTCTAGGTTTGCATATAAATTAGCACACTGTTACTAAGAAGTACCCCACGTGTCCCAACAGCAAGTCTCAGGAGACTAGGCCCAGATTATGTCCTGCCCAATAGCTGTCACTGCATGGAGTGCTATATCAGCAAAGAGAGCTGTTCTGCTTCTTGGTGATCACTGAGGGCCACCACAGAGAGCCAGCAGAGTCACTCACATTTACCAGGAAGCACAGAGTGCAGATGGCAGACTCCTTCTCCTGGCTTTCCCATGCACCTTGTTCCAGCTAATACTTTACATGTAAATTAGCACACATGATTTTTATGCAAATCCCTCCCCTCTTCCATTTTGGTGATGCATTTTCTCTGTTCAGATTTGTAAGCTGCCATCCTACTTGCTGGAAAGCTAATTTCCGCAAGTTCCTGGGATACTATATGTCCCATGATTATTCCTGACTGGCAAATTCTCTTCTACCTGCCAGTTGCCAATCCCTGCATCAACAGAACCCTTCCTAAGTATGTTTTTCCTTAGATTTTTGAACTACAATTGATATTCATGGTCAGGAATGCTGGGAGTTTCAGTACAAAATATGGGGGGGGGGCAGGTACTAGGTTGGAGAATGCTGCCCCAAAAGACTGGGCTTGCAGTGGGGGTATGTTTTGGTGTTGCGTCCTCAGGCTCTGAGCAATGATAATGCTCTACAATGAAGCTTTCATAAGTTTCAGGTGTAGAATTAAGCACTGTGAGAGGAAACAGCACAGCTATTTTGAGAAACCACAACAATCTAAGTAAATCAAGCAGTGTGTGCAGTGGTGTGGGGGTGGGGGGAACCTACATGCAAGCCTTTGGCCTTGAGCTGAATGCCTATGGAGTGATTCTTACGTCTAATGTGGAGAGGAGCTATCAGGACTCAATCAGGCTCCACTGGCTCCACTAGAGGCCCTCTGACATTAGACCTTGCCTTGTTTGGTTGGACAAGGTACATGGGAAAGCCAGGAGAAGGAGTCTGCCATCTGCACTCTGTGCTTTCTGGTAAATGTGAGTGACTCTGCTGGCTCTCTGTGGTGGCCCTCAGTGATCACCAAGAAGCAGAACAGCTCTCTTTGCTGATGTAGCACTCCATGCAGTGACAGCTATAGGGCAGGACATAATCTGGGCCTAGTCTCCTGAGACTTGTTGTTGGGACACGTGGGGTCCTTCTTAGTAACAGTGTGCATCTGAACACGTACAAAGCCTTTATCAAAGAATCTTGACAGCCACCTGCCACCCATGCGTCTGACACTAGAAACGGGGCCTCCCGATTAGAGGAAATGGTTTACAGGAAGGCTTAAGAGCCATGCTTTGTGAAATGAAAGCCTTCTCTTTGGGGTTGCAGGGAACCTTCAAAGGCTGCTGGTAGGGCTGCCACACAAAACACATTTTCATTGTTAAGCTGGAATGGATGTTCAGAGGTTTATGTTCTCTGCACACTGATTCAGCTGCCATATGATAGCCTAATTAACTGAAATAGTTGGTAGTTAGAGTAGTCTCTGAAATGAGGATATCACGTGCACATAACAAGACCTCTATCCTTGTTTGCAGCCATTAATACATCATTTTGATGGCATAGCTTACAGATTCTCTCAAGTTAGCATTAACAATTTAAGTGGAATTTGCAGATCTCACATAGAACACCATGAACTGCAGCTGGCATTTGATTTCATGAGTCCCACCAAAGGTAATTCCTAAAGTCAAATGTAGAGATGTGTGAAGAATCCACTTTGGGCATACAATCCACCAGATTCCCTGGTTTCAGCTCCCTGGACTCTAGTCCACTTTGCAGCCACCGGGACTCCAAGTCCCTGGTGAGTTTTTGTGGGATACTCACCAAGGATCAAGCCCCATGTGCTGTGCAAGCAGCATCATTCTGCCATGTCCACAACTGCCACTGGCAGCAGCAGGTTGAAAAGAAAGTTGGCTGCCAGGAGTGGCAGCTGGGGAAGGTTGCCAGATGTACAACCAGGGGCGTGAGAATGCTTGCAGACTTCTTCTAGGCTCTGCTCACTTAGAGAGGGCTGAGGACCAGAAGAAGTCCAATGGGAAGGTGTGAACCTGTTTCCCCAAAGGCTTGGCACATCCCTGGTCAAACCTCACTTTAACTGCAGGAAATCGGAAATGCAGGGCTTACCTGCTCCTGCAAACTGTGTAAACAATATTACAGGCATCATTTTCCCACATGAATTAAATTGGTTTTCAGCCTATCTTTCAATACCTTATTTTTTGAACATGAGGCACTTTGTTGATTCCTGTAGGAACTGGAAGTACCTCAAATGTTCTCCTAGGTTACACAGCACGGACTGAAGCCAGATCAGTACTTTGGCAATCCTCCATGTCAATTTCCTTCTGTTTCTTGCATCCTTTTCTTCTTACCACAGACAATCTGGTAAGATAGAGGTTCAAAAAGTGTGGCCTCAGGCCACATAAGGCCAGCAACTGAATTGGGGGACTGGAGGCAAGGATGGGAGTTTCCTGCTAATGATAAGCTGCACAACGTCTTCTGGTCCTGTTACTGAGTTTGTCACAGAAGGAGGGAGGGGAAGGAAATGGTAAATGGTTTGCCAGCAAAGGCTGGGAGTGTAGCTCCCAGGGAAATGCCTTGAGAGGCAGAGGAAGCCTGTTTGGCTCAGCTTGGGCTAAACAGGAGAAGAGAAGAGAGTGAACAAGAGGTTGCAGCTTGCAGCCAGTGAGTTACCCTGAAGGACTGATGTTGGACTGCCCGGCCAACTCTCATGAAATCCTATCCTCTTCTGTACTTAAAAAAGGACTCTGTGGCCAGAATATAGAGAATCTTGTAACCTGCTCGGGGAGCTTTCTGGCTAAAGATGCAGGATAAAAATATAATAAATAAACACAGACAGACAGACATGTTCCCAGACAGTTTACTAAAGCCTAGCATAAGGTTTCCAGTTCAGCTAGCCCACCCCCACACACCCCTTGCTCAATGGTTGTGTTACAGCAGGGGCTTGGCAATCAGACCTGTGTTTTTTCAAAAGATCTGTAGGGGAGACTGAACTGCACTGGGACCATTATGTAGGGGAAGGAGAGGAACCCTTCCTTCCCTGTGCCATTTCCCCAATCTAAGCTCTTCTGGTTACTATTTGTGCTGTAAATTTATTACTGTGACGGGGGCCTGAAAGTTTTTCCATCCCTGTAGGTCAAATAGTTTCATGTGCGTAACTCAGAGAAGAAAAGCTTACCCTTTGATCAGGGTCTGAGGATCTAGTTGAGCAGCTTTTCTCCTTATTTTTTCCACATTGTTCCATCAGCTAACATAATCCAACTTTTACGTGGCTTGCATTTTTCAACTTCACGGATGGTATTTTGGAACTGCACATTTTCCTCTAAAACTAAACATGTGGTATCTGGCTGCATTAAAAAAGAGGAGCAAAAGGTCCTGTTTTTTCCTAACCCTGTTTTATTTAAATTTATTTATTTAAAATATTTATACCCTGTCTATATACAAATAAGTCTCAAGACTGCTCCTGAACGGCCCCAGCAAATCTCACACAATCTGGACAATAAGTAAATGTGGGAGGAATAACCTTTCATGATTATCCTCAAATACGATCTAAAACTGAGCCTCATCTTTGCCCTCATAGTAATAAGGATGCAACCTGGGCTGGGCCTCCCTGGGTCTGCCCACAGTACAGTAATTCTGCCCTGCCTGAGACTGGCACGGATGACCAAACGCTGGATTGGGCTGCTGTGAGGCTTATTATAGCAGAGAAGACCAATGTGAAGTATGTAACCTGGTCTCTGGGTGATGGGAGGCTTGAAGCTGAGTAGAAGCGGCTTAGCACTGTCCTTCACAGCAACTACATTCCATGCAGATCCAACAGATAGAGAGGATGGCTTCAGCCACCCACACTGCGAGAGGCAGGTTTGGTCTTACTCAGGCAGGGTGAGGTAAGATTATCATCTTGTGGCAGATCACATGGGACATGCAGAGCACAAGCTGAGCAGGAGAGGAAATCAGTCTGACAGAGAGGTGGTGAAGGAAGGATAGAGTGAGAAACGCAGCAGGAAGCCAAGGTACCTGGGTGGCTGGCTCTGTGTCATGGTGTGGGGGTGCCGCATTGTTGGCTGGTTGCTAGGGGTCCTGCACACTGAGGGTGAAGTGGAGGGAGAAGAGGGGAGAGTTGAAGCAGGATCTCTACAGCATGTTGCTGCAGTACATCTGGCTGGGGGCTGGGAAGAAGCCTGTGCGTGGTGTGGATGAGTGAGGAAGACCAAGATTCCAGCAGACCTCTGTGTGAAGGGGAAGAGCACAAGAGAAAGAGGGCAATGCCCCAGAGAGCTTATCCGGTTACTCCTTGTGCCATCTGTCTGAAACAATCTCCGTGCCAGGTTTTAACCGGTTGATCATCTCAAGGAGACACCTGCAGACTCTTCCAGCTGCTATCCAATGCTTCATAAAGGAACTGCAGTGTCATTGTGTGGACCTGCTAGGCTACTCATGGAAAATAGCACCACCAGTTTGCAGGGGAAGCACCGTTTGCCATGGTGGACTCATCTAACTCCTCTGGAGGAGTAAGGGCACGTCCACCGGAGAGCAACCTGTCTTTTGGTGTTGGGACTTTAGTGCAGAACTCATTTCTAGGATGAAAAAACTGATGCACTGTGCTGTCATGGCTTTTGCATTCCGCACTACCCAACCAACAACCACTTATTGCCCTAGCCAGCCCAGCAAAACGGAACTGAGACTGAGCAGCATCCTGTACAGAGAGCTCCCCACATATTTTGCACTGCAGGAACTATTCAGCCAGCTACAATTTCCCCATTTATGTTTGAAAGAACATGCCCCAGACAAGACCCCTTCCCTCCGTCACATTCCTGGGGATCCCACATTCCACCTGCTCTGCAGCAATTAGCTTCTTGTTAACCCAGAGGGGATGTGGAGCTGGCTGCCTGGCAGGAGGCACTCCCCTTCTGGGTGAGGAGGAGCCGTCAGGAAGCAGTGCTGCTCCTCAGCTCCCATTCTGCAGTGCCCCCAGCACGCCACAGCCAATGCACCTACGCTGGCATCAGGCGGGGGGAGGGGGGCTGGGCAGCATGGCTTCCCAGCCTGCACAGGATGTGGCAGGACAGGTTCTGTGGGCCAGGGCAGAGCTGGTTCTTCAAGAGGCAAGCCCCACACTGCCCCACCCATGGTTCTTGTAGCTAGGCCACAGCCTGCAGGTGCCAGAGAGCACCACTGGCCCTCTCTTAATGCTTCCTGGAAGCAGATCGACTCCACTCCCAGGCTCGGCAAATTTAGGAGCTTCATCTGCAAGTTACAATCATCAGCTCCTCTGTGCTGCAAGTTCTTTCACCACAGGAAGCACCCGGGTATGCGAATGAAGTGTAGGAAGTTGGGTTACCAATTAATTTTCTGTTTCTGCATTTAAAGGCACAGCACGTTTAAAAGCAGAAAATAAGGCTTGTTAGAAAATGAAGTCTTCTTGGGCCCAGGGTGTGGAGAAACTAGCATTTAGAGGCAGCTGGCCTAGAACAGCATCTTTCAGGGACAGAACACTCACGGCCAGGCTATTTGAATGGAAAAGGGCAGAAGATGGCTATGCTATTGGCACAACACACACCTGCCCCTACAGAAGGGACAGAAAAGTCCACCTTCCAGGTCCTAGCAGGGAGACTCTTCACCTTTCTATGTCCAAGAAGGCAGGCTATCTTTTTGCTTCTCTGTTATTCAGCGGAACACTTCCAGGCCTGTCACTCTTGGTCAAATTGCCAAGACAGGATTGTTGGACAGTTTGGCAAGAGCTTGAACTTTTGTGTCCTGAAAAATCACAGGTGATGTGAGGCTCCGGTGTTCCTGCTTTCCTGTAACTCTCCTGCTTTTACTCTCTCTCTCTCTCTCTTTTGCAGATGGAAGCTTCACAGAAACTGCAGCCTGGGACAGAGACACCCTCCTTGCTGAGATCCTACAGGTGGCAGACAGTTCCACAATCTGGGGAGATGGAGCCAGACCCAAATCTTGATCATCATGGATCTGAGACCAGCAAGCGCAGGGGCAAGCTGCAGAAATGGAAGCGAGTCCAAAGTCAGCCAGAGAGTGACCTTCCTGTGCCTAGTCACGAGCAGCCTCCACCAGTGCCCCCGCAAGACAACCGAGTTGCTACCAAGAGGTCTGTCTTTCAGAGAGCTTTCACTACTCCTGCCAAGATGTCCAAGGCCCAGGAGGGAAGTGGTAAAATGAGCCTAAGGAAGTATCTGCGCTCCATGTCCAACCGAAAAAACCAGGAGGGTCCAGCCCGATCAGAAAAGGAGGTGAAGGAGACCAGCAAAGGTAAGGCAACTCTGCACCAAGACAACATTGTGATGCATTCAGCTGAGCTGCTGCATGGCTTTGGACTGTGCAGGGGGACCTCATGTGGAAGGCGTGGCTGCCACAGGGCTAGTCCAAAGCCCACTATTGCTCAAAAAATTTCCCTTCCCCATTTAGTGAAATCCCTTCCTTAACAAACAAATTAATATGCTGTTTTAAAAGAGAGCTGGATGCAATGCATGGGCTGAATCTAGAGTTGGTCATGCTTTGAGCAGACCCATTCAAATCAATGGGACTTAAACTTAGCCACATCACCTTGACACATGGAATTTGTGCCTGGTGCAGAATTCAGCATCCACAACACCTCCTCCTTTCCTTCCTTCCTTCCTTCCTTCCTTCCTTCCTTCCTTCCTTCCTTCCTACCTGGCTCTGTCCTTTTGGCTGAGGTATGTTTTGAAGGCATACAGGCAGTGCCTGGTGTACTCGTAACCTCAGGAGCCAGCATAGGGGCAGGGAGCAGGGGAGGGAGGCTTCAGGGCTCTGCAAAGCTCCCAGTCATTTATGACACAGTGCTTGGATTGTTTTAGCTGAGCTGACCCAGCCCTGGTCTGCTCTATTTGGTATTAGTTGCCATGTACAAGGAACCAGAAGACAGTCAACATTCTGGATACCATGCACCTGACTCCCCAGGTACCCCACCAGTGCTTCTCGAGTAAGCCTTTCCCTCTCTCCTAGAGCTTTTTCTGTCTTGCCCATTTCTAGGAAGAATAATGGTTGTGCTTGTAGCCACACTTTAGAAACAATTGTGCAGTCATGGAATAGCACTCTTTCAGGTTCAGCGAAAAAGGAAGTGCTGTAGTGATTAGCCAGTAAGTTGCTGTACTCTGAGAACGGCCAGGTTCCTAATCTTGACTGGACCAATTCACACATCATGAGAAGACAAGCTGCACAGTGGCTCATAAGCCATCCTACCCAAGTTGCACCCAACAGACAGCTGAGCACATCACGAGAAGTATGCCCTCCCACTCCCCACTCCCTTGGCTCTCCCACTGATTCTTGGCGGGATGCCATGATTGTTGTTGGCTTGTTCCCATTGTGCTTGTGCGCTGACTGTTTACATGCCACGAAGTTTTGGCCCTTTCATACTTTTTCCCTCTCAAAGTTTACTTCCTATTTTAGCAGCTACAGTCCCTCCAAGGTACCCCAGTGGTTCTTTGGAGGGGCAGCCCATGGTTGCCAACACTTTTCAAAAAGTGTAATGCGTGCAAATATCTGGGCTCATTGCTCCCCCTCCCCAAATTTTCCAGCCAGATTTGCCTGAATCCAACATTGTAGGGTGTTTGTGAACATCAGGAACCAGGAGTGGGCACTGTGCATAGCAGTATCTGCTGGCCAAGTCCAGCAGGCACCACCCCTGTGCAAGGCCCACTCAAGTCTGCAGTTAAGTTAATAGCATTTGATGGATGCCAGAAGTAGCCAGGAGTGCTTTCCAGTAGAAGGCCCAAAAGTATTGATTGTGTACCTAAATTAATTTTCCATGGTAAGAAAAAAGACGGAAGATATGGTGGGAAAACAAAAGGGAGCGACAGGTCCAAGAGAATGCTGTCTGTAGAATTCTCTAAATGTGGCAGGGCAAAGTGGGGCCAAGCTAGGACCTCCTGCTGTTCAAGAAAGGCATCCCCTCCATTTCCTGGGTACACTAGCATTGACTCCTGCTTTGACACTGGCAACAGGATAGGGACCTCCACTACACTTGAGGGCGGCAGACTATTTTAGAACAGGCCATCTGGCACATAGGGCTATGTTCTTCAAGGGAATGGAATGACTGAGGGAATTAGCAACAACCGCTGGGGGAGCTTCTTCTAGCTGTTGCCTCTCTCTGCCTAATGACAGGGTCAGCCTTGGTGTGATGGCACAATCAAAGACTAATCTGGAAAGACCCAAAGAAAACTAGCATATTGCTATTTAAGCAAGAATTCCAGCTGGCCTAGTTAAGTTGGAAAAAAAGGAACACAAGCCAGTTAAGTCCTATTGGAATTGTGCTGAAATCAATGGGATTCTTGATAGTTAAAATCCTTTGACTTTGGAATGTACTCTGGTTTGATCCAAGAATGGCAAATGAAAATATATTCACCCCCGTTTTTTTTCATTGATGTACTGACTACTAATAATATTTGGGTAAGTGCTTCCCAAACTGCTATACTGATCTGGTACTCGACAGGGAGGGATTCTCTCTGTGGCGAACAGTTGCTCATGTCTCTGCTATGCATAACATGCCCCAGTTTTGTTTTCTGACTGGATCATTACATAGCAAAAGGCTCAGACTATCTACTCTTCTGATGCCCAAATGACAGGCAGAGAAGCCACTTTCCTTCTGCTGTTGAAAGGCCTTTTTCACACAGTCTTCTGCTCCATAAATCTGCATATTGGTTTGCTGTGTGTAGCCTACACACCTTACCTCACAGCAGCATTTTTGTAAACCACAGTCGCATGAAGGTGTGCACTTTGTTTATGATGCACTTAGTGATGAGCGATGCAGCCTCTCCCTTTGCTTCAACAACTTTGCCCTTTGTCTTCGGTCATATCGTTTGTGTTTAAAAAAATCTGGGGCTGCTTTTTGCTTCCCTCATTATTTACCTCCTTTTGGAGGAATATTTTTAACCAGGTGTTTTGTGTGCATGTGTGTGTTTTAAGGGAATATACTAGCTTCTTTTCTTTCTTTCTTTTTTTTTAAAGATCCTTCCATAAAAAATGTCCTTTCAATTACTTAGATCTCTGATGATGGCTTCTTGCAAATATATGAATCAGGGCTGCTGATCTGTTTCCTCCCACAGCTATCACCACTTTTGCAACACATTTAACAGATGTACCAGCAGTCTATTTTGCCATTTCTTATGCATCTGCTTCTGGGGGTTGGGGGTGGGGGTGGGGCAGGTGACCCTTGTTTTCCTCACTCCTTTTAAAGTATAACATTCACTTTGTTCCCTTCAACATATAGAATTATAGAATCACAGAACATTTGGAAGGGGCCATGAAGGCCATTGGGTCCAACCCTCTGCTGTTGCAGGACACCATGTTACACCATTGCACTCAGATGGCTGTCCAGTTTCGCCTTGAATGTCTCTATGTGGGAGAACCCACCACCTCTCTAGGCAACTGGCTCCACTGTCATATTGCTCTGACAGTGAGGAAGCTTTTCCTGTTATCTAGCCTGAACCCGGGTTGCCACAGCTGTACTTGATTATTCCCTGTCCTACATTCTGGTATGAGCAAGAAGAGATCCTGACCTTCCTCTTGGTGACAGCCTTTGAGGTACTTACAGAAGGATAGCAGGTCCCTGCTCAGTCTTCTCTTCTAAAGACTGAACATGCCCACTTCTTTCAGTGTCTTCTCATAGGGCAGTGTTTCCAAAGCCTGGATCATTTTTGGTGCCCTCTGCTGGACCCTTTCTAATTTTCCTGCATCTTTCTTAAGTCTTGGTGCCCAGAACTGGAATCAGTATTCCAGGTGAGGTCTGACTAGTGAGGAGTACAGGGAGACTCCTGCTTCTCATGATTTGAAAGTAGCACTTCTGTTAATGCATCCCAAAATAGCATTTGCCCTTTTTGCAGCTGCATCACATTGTTGGCTCATATTTAGCCTGTTGTTCACAATAACTCCAAGGTCTTTTTCTATTTCCATTCTGTTGGGCCACATATTCCCCATCTTGTATCAATGCATTTGGTTTCTTTTTCCGAGCTGGTGGACATCAAATGTTTGGCTCAAATTAAAAAAGGGACAATAATAGGGAGTCAGAAAACAATGGGGAAGTGGGGAGTTAGAAAACAACACCGTAAGCCAGTGGTGGCGAACCTATGGCATGTGCGCCGCAGCGGGCACGCAGAGCCCTCTCTGTCGGCACGCGAGCCAAGTTGCCCCAGCATCTGAGCATCGGATAACAGTGCACACAGGGCCATGCGCTTGCTCAGAAAGGAGTAGCAGCGCCAGGTGATGATGTCACGAGCCATGACTCATTAGCCGCTACTCGTTTGAGCTTTTGCATGGCCAGTCAGTGCGCTGCCAAGGATATGATATTATTTATATGTATATTAATGTGTGTGTGTGTGTGTGTGTGTATTTGCTAGGACTGGCTGTGAGCTGTTTTTTTCTAAACTAAAACCTCAGTATTCAGGTTTTATTGCAGTGTTGGTACTTTGTGATAAATAAGTGGGTTTTGGGTTGCAGTCTCTAAAAGGTTCACCATCACTGCCTTAGGCTATCACATGAACCAGGCAATCAGTGCTGTCCTCTGCATGGTGGGCTTCAGCTATGAACAGGAAGACCACCTGTGAAGAATGGAGTACCAATAGGTTTAGCTTAGGAATCAGGCAGGCTTCTGACTTTCTGCTCTTTGTGTGCCTTCCGTCTTGCCTCCTGTACAGTTATTCTGGGCAGGATTGCACGTAAATGGCAACCCACCATGGTAAATCTCCAATTAATTTGCCAAGCAGCCATGGTGAGCCCAACAGATGATCATTCTGGTTGCTTTGCTCCCTTCCTCCATCCCTCCTGGCAGTATCCTGGGGGACACCATGGGGAGGAACCCAGCTCCTCTTGTCAACTGCCACAATCCCAAGCTGATTTTTGGCTTTCTGTGGCTCTCCAAGTATCTCTGCTTCATAAACAGGCTCATGACCTGAAGCACAGCAGAAAAGATGAGGGAGCTGATGAGGGAGCTCCTGGTCTAGAGGAGCTCTCTGGGGGCAGGGGGGTCCCTGATCCATGCTCAGGCGTTGGAGGGCAGTCAGCTAGGCTGTGCTCTGGAAAGGGGCAGTGCTCCTCAGCTGAGAGGAAGCCCCTCCGTGTGACTGGGCTGGGTGGCCATGCTGAAGCCTGGTAGCTGTTAGGTATGCTCCCTGGTGAGGCATTGGCGAGAGCAGCAACAGTCACCCCTGCAAAGCAGCTCTCTTGTTCTAGGCATTTCCCCACAGTGGGCTGTGTCATTCATGTTCAGTTGACACAGCAAGCAATATGGTACGGAG